TGTGTCATACATTTGGTTCTTGAATCATGTAATCAATCAAACTCAGAAAATGTCCACAGTTAGTTTATTGTTGATTTCTTGCGAAATCAAATGAAATGAAAAAGGAAGAAAATATTTTAAGCAATTCACTGGGATTTAATGGGTAAAAACACCGGTTCAATTGAAATTTTTCTATTAAAAACCTTTTGACAGGGAAGAGGTTTGTGCAGCTCTGTAAACAGCTTAAACTTGTAATCCTGTTTAATTGTTTCTAAATCCTTTGATTTTAATCAAGCTTTAATTCTGTGCTATCTTGCTTTGAAGATTTGCCGAATTTCCATAATCGTAATATTCAGAAGATGGGATGAACTTTATGTTGTTGTTTCTGTAATACTTCGAGTGTTGTCATGGTAACAAAAATGGCACATGTATGAACTTTTAATTTTTGTATAAAGTGAAATTATATATATATATATAGCTCTTTTTTTGGAATACAACAGAAACCAACAAACGTTTAAACATGACAGTTTGGTTTCTCATATTTGTACAATGATATGAACATGGTCATTTTGTATTTTTAAACCCTCCACTGACCTGATAAAGTCTAGCAGGCAAGTTTAGTCTTCAACTAAAGGAGGAGTCAGGTTTCCCTGGCGTGTGAGACTTCTTAAAATATTTTCTTAAATGTTGCAGTCAGAGCATGATCAAAAATAGTCTGCGGCTCTGAAATCTGAGCTGGCGCATGATGCCGGCTTTCCAGGCTGCTGTAAACAGTCAGGCTGCAGGAGCCGAAGTCAAAGGCGCTGGAGGATTTCTATTTTCCCAGTGTCCATGCTGGGCATTTACGTGGCTGTTGTTTTAACCCCTGTGCACCCGCATTAGGAGTCCCAGCCTCTGTGTGCATGTGTTAGAAAAACCCGGCTCGTTCCCACAGTGCACACACACGCACACACAGTCGGGTATGTTTGAATGAATGTATGTCCAAATGAACGCATATTCTCACACAATGACAAAGCACACAGGCCCAAGGCAGCGTTCTCCCCAGGTTATGTAACACTATCTCTAAGCGCTACTGCAGCCTGTAACATTCCTGACAGGCGGTGCACATTCTTCACCAAACACACAGACAAAAACACCATTTTGACCCAACAGTAACTTTGTCTTTATTTTTGTTTTGACTCTAACTATTTCACCTTTAAAAAAATAATTAAAAAATCCTCTTTTGGCATGTTCCTTATAGCTCAACAGTCTGGGCCAGATTTGCCCTCCGCCCGGCAGCCGGACTTGTGGGATGGCGAATAGAATGTCAACTGGATGTGTGCCAGGTGTAGCAACAATGTCGTTGTCTATTTTTATGGTGTGGATAAAGTGCTGGAAGATGGTTATTATCTGTGTCTTTCTCCTGACCTTGTCTTCCTTCTTCTTCCTCATGAAATAATGTTGAGCCTCGTGGTGTTTAGACTTTAAAAACAAAACAAAAAAAACAATTAAAGTCTGACTTCATCACGACTTGTTCCAAGTTTCCTGGGAATGGACTGTTTGATTTTGTTCTAAATTGAGCAAGGTACAATACAACATTGTGTTTTACTCTGAGGGGGTTTAATGACATGTACATGACAGACCTGTTCATTCCTGTTTCTCACATAATCAGCTTCTTCTCCTCTTTTTCTTACTTACTAATGTATTTTTTCTGTACTCACTGACGCTTGTGACTTCTCTTACAAAGTTAGTTTCTGTTCTGCATCCTGTTTTTCAGAACTTTTACAGTATTGTTAGATGCAGTTTATGTAAACAAATCTAGGTGGAATACTTCTCCTCTGGTCGGCTGTTGGCCAGTCTGACTCCAAACAGTGTTCACACAGAGAAGCTCTTTAGAAAACTTTACCTCAGTCCGAATAATCATTCTGGTTTCACAGTGATGTCACAGTTTTCCTTTTTGCTGCCGCTCGCCCACACACACTCATGGTCCAAAATAAAATCCCCGGTCAGAGAGATTTTAATGTTTCCTACAGCAACATTTCATACTGAACAGTTTTTCTCGTTAACTTCTCCATCTCGAGACCGTTGATCAGCATTTTTAGGGGCTGAGTGTTATGTACTCTCTGACAAGAGACAAACAAGGTACATGCACAGAGCAGGGTAGGCTGAATATAATTAAGTTATTGAATAATTAGTGAGTCCGTGGGTGAGTGAAGGAGCTGAACGAGATTCTGACAGAACAGCGGAGGAGGCACCGGAGCTGGTGAGAGGGAGCTGAGGAGCAGCACAGGTTGCGGATGACCAAAGAGTGAGATCCGGCTTCCCTTTTCCTTGTAAAATTATTTTTCATTTCACCTTCAGCAGTTTTTACATCACATATAAAATGTTTCATTTCACTCAGTTTCTTGAGCCGTCCGTAACTCTCAGACCTTTTGTTCTCTGAAGTTTTCTGACATTAATCTTGGACATCACATCATTAATCTTCCACTGCATCCAGGACTGCTTCACTAACCCAGAAACTGTTTGGTCCTAAAGACTGAATACAGGATCATCATGAGCACAATCAGCCCTGGAAAAATGCTCCTCTCTGTCTCTGAACACACAACAACTGCAGACACAACAACATTTCCTGGCAAGTCTCATCTAATACGAAGGTTTTCTTCTGCTGATAAGGATTTAGAAGAAAAAAAAGAAAGAATGTCTACATGTGAGATAAGTCAAGTCAAAGCTTGTTTTGTTTTTTCTCCCCTAAAAGGCCATGTTCGTCAAAGACCTGGGGATTTACAAAGCCACAGAATATGAACTTTACACATTTTGAGCTGTTTTCTGTTTGGTGTTAAGTATTGTCAGTGTGAGGAAGCAGGCAGGATCCCACTGCAGCACAGAGGAGTCTCTCTTCAAAGTGCAGAGGATTTATTTAGTCCAGAAATTGCAGAAATTCAGAACCAGAAATACAGCCACAACAGCACACAAACAAACAAACAAACAAACCCCCACAATGATCCCACGAAGACTGTGCAAGGGTGAGAGGTGTATATACGTATATACACAGGTCACCAGGTGACACCAGTGAGACAAATGACAAAGACACAGGTGAGGCTGATCACTCTGATTAACTCTATAACACACAGGAGGAAAAGAGAAACAGACAGACTCACATTTGGCATATCTCCTAGTTTTCTTCAAATTAAAATAATAAAGTTAAAATGAGGCCAATAATAATGTGTCTTCACTGTCTAATGATCATTGTTAAAGACATAATGTGTCTTAGTTTTTATTCAAATTCAAACAAACTCTCCAATGATGTGTCCAGTGTGTGGCACTAGAGCTATTTGTGGCACAAATGATTTTGATGTGTTTGTGTTTTGTTGCACACCATAGGGGCAGTATTTATTTCATCCTGGTTATCCAGTTACAATGCCATACTTAGTTACTTAGTTGTTGTTAGCTGTTACCTCAGCATGGATATTCCCTTATCTAGTCTGACCTTACATGCATAGGAGATGTATTGGCCCTGTATGAAGAGATTTTATCCTCTCTGCTATACCTGAATATTTGCTACTGTAGAGTAGAAGATACAGCTAATGGGGTAAGTAGAAAAAATCCTCTCAGCCTCAGTAAATATGTATGTGAGATTAGTCGAGGTAAATAGCCTCAGGTGCCAATGAAAGGCATGGTGATTTGGCTTACGTTTCGTGCAATGTTTTGCAGCTCAGATCACAATCATGAAAGGATTATGGGAAATACAACTGAGCTCAAATGGGTGAACCACTCAGCCGTGTCATGTAGTGGGACCTGGGTTTTATGTTTCCCCCGTGGCTCCAAAGACTTGATTCACTGGCAGAAACTATTCAGTGCAGTTTAAATTCCACGTGCTGCTCCGCAACTTGTGAGCAGGGCATCCAAGAATAAGGAGGATCAATCCAAGTGTCACCTACAAGACAGCCCTTAGATTCACTTCCCTCTGCTTTAATTTGTATCTGCAGCCTTGAACTCCAGAGAAATAAATGAACACAGTCTGATAAAGGATAGCTGAGTATAATAATGTGGGTTTTTTTTTCATGGTTTGACTTTATAGTGATGGTGTAGTCCTGGAAAAAATATTATCTTTTACACACTATCATGAGCCCAGATTCATATGATCCTCCCATGTAGACTTTGATTTACTGCTGCAGCTCTGTATGCAGTTCCCTCTTCTCCACAGAAGACCAGAAGTGTGTGGAATGTGCAAATGAAAATGTTATGATTTTCCCATTTTCCAGCAGGAAGCACAGTCATTCCTTCCGTGCAGCGTTAAAGCTCTGTGCCACTTGGAAGCGTAGAGTTGACACTTGATGTACTCAGTCTGGGACTTAAATCAACCATTCAATGGAGTAAGAGGTTTTTCAGTTTGAAGATGATTTGTACTTCCTCCAAAACAGACACAACGTGACTCTAAATAACATGTAATAGTCTGGTGTCCACGGTTGTAAAGAGTGATATAAAAAATGAAATTCTATGTTATAGAAGAACTTCATTCATCGCTGGTGGTGTCTGTTTCTCCACATTCATTTTCTTTTCTTTTTTGCACAATTATAGCTACATTCATACAGTATGAATAAATACCATTATCCATAAGTTAAGTATTTTCTTGTTCTTTAATAAAAGTGATTTCCTTCCTTCCTTCCTTCATTCATTCCTTCCTTCCTTCCATACATCCTTCCTTCCTTCCTTCCTTCCTTCCTTCTTTCCTTCTTTCCTTCCTTCCTTCCCTCCTTCCCTCCTTCCTTCTTTCATTCTATTCTTCCTTCATTCCTTCCTACCTTCCATCCTTCCTTCCCTCCTTGCATCCTTCATTATTTTCCTTCAATCCTTCCTTCCCTCCCTCCTCCTTCCTTCCTTCCTTCCTTCCTTCCTTCCTTCCTTCCTTCCTTCCTTCCTTCCCTTACAGTTCCAGTGACACTCCCTAGAAGGTGATTTGTTTTCTTAGCCGTTGCCCTCTTGGCTCCGTCTCCCATTGGAGTCCTTAAAGGTCAAGGACTGTAAATAAATAATAAATGAATGAATAAATGAAATCAAATAAAGATTTCAGTGGAAAGGAACTTGCCTGACCAAAGGGAATAGGATGGAGGGTATATTCTTGAACAATCATTCATTCCATATATAAATAATAATGAATGAAGACTGTTCAATTCATCAGCCTGTTCTTGACACTGAGTAAGCACTGATCCAAACCATGAACCAAAACCCGATCATTCAGACGCACAGGTTGTGCTTTTGTTGCTGGTGCTGGTGAAAAATAAGAAGCCCCACCTTTGCTTTCCTTAATAATGTCTTGTCTGCAGTGAGACATTTAAATCGCTGCGTGGTTGGGATGTGAAATTAAAATCCTGAGTATGTGTGATAAATATTTAGTGCAGGACTTTCCCCTGGACCGACCTCACAAACATCTGCTGTCTAATAGTTTTGTATGGAGCCATCAGACGGGTGTGAGCTGACTGTGCCAGGTTGTATATTTGGAGAGTGGGTTGATGACAGAGGTGAGGTATGTGAGGAGCAGCAGCGGCAGCAGCGGCAGCAGCAGACATTGCAATTACTCATCTGCTCCAGGACATTAGCTCTCAATCGTTTGTGTGATGGGAGGGAAAACGGATTTGATGTTTCCACCAAATCTGGCAATTCAGTGTTTGTCATCTTTGGCTCTGACAAACAAGACTTTATGTACTGGGTCATGCATACAATACTGCTGTAAAACAAACAAAGAACCTTTTTAACCAAAAGGTGACCTGATTATCTTATTGGTCATGTAAATCAAAACAAATTATTTTAATCTCATATTTTGTTCTTTAAATTCAAAATGTATTTGCAACTCATTTTTTTGTATTTTGAGACCTCTTAATACGCCTTTATGTCTTTACGTCTTTTCCTCCCACTCGCACAAGAGCTTCCACTGCTCTAAAATCTAGGGGGAGCTCATTCAGTTTTTTGACATTTAGCTTCTGTTTTTCCCAACAACTATTTACAGATGTACAAACTACTTGGTTATGCACAACAAAGGTAAACTCCTAAACTCCCACTCCAAACTGTCAATGGCTGAGGGTGTAAACAGCCTGAAGAGAAAGAAGAGAGACTCCCACATTCCAAACCTCTCCTGTTGCATACTTGTGTATCTAAGGGTCAAATCTTTTCCAAGCAGCACTGAATACTTTGAATTTGGCTGGGCCTCACACCAGAGCTATATAAGATCTGAGGTCATCAGGAATTTCATGAAGTATCTTTGAGAAAATGGGATATGTTTGCTTTAATTTAAACTCAATCAAAAGACAACAGCAGGCTGTATTAGTTTCTTCCCCCTGGGTGGAGTTTGATTTGGCTGGAACACAGTACATGTACTGTACATGTACTGTGTTCCAGCCAGTACAAGTACCTGCTGGCTCTCTCTGTCCTATAGTTACTTTACTGCACTATGCTGCTCTATCAGACAGCAGAGGAACAGCATTTGTTAACCTTTCCACAAAGTGGAACTCAAAGTTCACATCGAGTCAGTTAAAAAAAGATTGGCTTTTAGAGTTGGAAAGTAATAACTAGAAATACAGAAGCCAATCGTGGGAAATGGGCAAACACAGGGATTTTCTTTTGTCTTGAATATAACAATGGAAACTTTCATTTCATTTTATTGTATTTACTTTGTATGGAAGTAGAAACCTGCGTGTGTTCTTACTGGAGCAGCATCTCTCCAATGCTTTGTTTCAAAATAATGAAACAAAAAACAGCTGAAGGACTTTTTTTTATTTCAGACCATTCTTTGAAAAATGTATGGCTATTAAATGATGGCTATTAGCATGGAGATAAATGATGGCAAAGATCAGCTCCTAATTAGCAATTAGCCACATGTTATCAAACGTTAGTAAAAATGTTACAAAAATTGTTTAGCTATACGTAGGTAAAATGTCTCCAACATTTAGTGAGAATTACAATTAAACCAAAATAGAATCAAAAACTGTATCTGATAGTGTCAGTGAAATTGATAGAGATAACTACAAGAGCCAAGAGTTAGCTACCTGTCAACTCAAACATTACTTTTATTTCCCTCAAAATTATTATTTTCCCCATTTGCTTGCAAAGTGATAGAAAAAAGTAAAAAAAAAAAACATTGCATTTGCATTTGACCAGTGACCCGATAAATTCATTCCAAAAGCATGAAGCAATTACTGAATGTGTTTCTTAGGTTTGTGGTTTGACAATCCCAACATGCAGGGAATGATTCATGTTCCCTCTCCTCCTGCCTTTAAGCCATTGCCCTCCAGTGATTTACTTTTAGTCAGTAAAGAAAACTAAAAAGTTTTTCTAGGCAGCGCCCCATGACAAAAGCATCCTCTCTGATGTAAAAAAGAGAGCTCTGTATCAGTGATTCTTTACAAGTGATGCCATCTTTTTCCTGCTGGGAGATTATTAAATGTTCATATGCACTACACTGTGTTACACTGTCTGTTTGATTTATGAATAATTGTACATGCGTCTTCTGCAGATAAGCATCATCTGAAAGGTGCCAAAGAAACAAATTACTGCTGGAGCAGTGCATTAATTAATACAATGGGTGGTGGAGATGTGTGAGAAGTGTGTGGTGTTTTCTTTTTACTGTTGCAATGCAGTGCAGAATCGTTATTATTTTGGTTATTTTCATTAGATCAAGTGTTTAATAAACATAAATAGACTCTTACACTTATTCAATTAAAGAGTGTGAACTTCATGTTCTCCTGATTTTAATTTAGCATGTTAGCATTTACTGATATTTACCAGTTGTAATAAAGTTGAGCTGTGTTACGTGAGCTGTATCAACATTACTCATTCTTCAAAGACAGGTTATTGCTTTCACATTTCATTATAGATATGGCCAAAACCCTAGACCCTATACCCACCGGTGACAGGACCCCAATTAAGACAGGGGCATAGGGCTCTGTGTTTAATACCAACTAGTCCCTTAATCCCAGATTGAGTTGCATAAGGGCTCTGTGTTTAATACCAGTCCCTTAATCCCAGATTGAGTTGCATCAGGAAGGACATCTGGTGTTAAAACAAAAATCAAACCAGGCAAATCACTGCTGAAGACCACCGACCCTTGGTGAAGGAATTAACCCGTTCAATATAGGTGATGTGACACAGCAGCTTCTTTAAAAACCTTTTCATTTTGATAAGGTTAAGGTTAAACTTTATTGATCCCACTCTGGGGAAGTTATTATCACAAAGTCACAAGTAAAACTGTTACAGGAGGAGCTGCAGGTAGGATTCAAAGGCTGCACTCAGGAGACAGGGATTTGGTGAGAAACGTTTTTTAAGTCAGTTTTTAAGACATTGAATTCAAAAGGAAAACTGAGTGAGTGTTAACTCGAGAACTTGGGCCAGATAGGAACAGAAATGGATGAAACACAACAGGAAGTTCTGTGAAACAGGGTAATTGGTTAAAATGGAGAAACAACAGCCACACTGACCAAACACCGACAGAGTGAAGGAGAGGTATTTAAACCACAGGACACAGGTGAGGCTGATTAAGACCTGACAACAAACTCTGAATGAGGAACTCCTCTCAGATTATTATTTATATCCTCTTCAATGGTGTGATTGGTTCAACTCATGTACATCAGTTCACACACAAGCGTTAATAGTTGCCTGTCTCTATATGTGGACAGACTGACTAAGGAAGTGTCGAGCGGTTGTCACATCCTCATCTGATGAATGTTGTGATTGGTTCCCACCCCTCTCATCCCTGGCTTGACTCTTAGGGTTTAGCTAGAGATAATAAAAGCACATTAATGACTACACTGGAGACTGGAGTTGTCAGGTGCCTAATGCAGTGTAGAGTGATTGTTTACAGTCAGGCTGTTGTCAAAGTAATTCATTATCTCAAAGAAAGCAATCAAACACTGATCCCACCTGAACGTTAGTCCAAGTTCATGTTGAGTTTGAGTGATGAACTAGTTTTCATTTACTTCACCATAATGTACATATGACCACATATAACAGCTATATATATAATAAAGTCATAATTATTCTCCTTACCACATCTTCAGGCTGTTTTTCAGCTCCTCATTTTCCAAGAAGAAGGAAGAGGAAATATTGTGGCACCACCTCCACTCCGGCCAAAACACTCCAAACAAAAATCTTCCATGGAGCATGTTACCCATTTCTTCAGGAATCCAAACAGGAACAGCCGGGCCTGTCCCAGAAAGGAAATGAGTGAGAGCAGCCTGAGGGCGAGGTGGGACCAGCTAAATGCTCATGTCCACTTGAAACATGCTATGAAAAACCAAAATCAGTAGACTATTAGTTTGAGTTTCTAGAAAACTCTGAGTCATATTGCGTCATGTTTTCTACATGTGGCTGCTGGACAGTCATCTATAGGTCATAGGAGGGTGTGCTGAGCACACAAAAAGATCTGTTTGTATGGAGATTATTATTATTATTATTATTATTATTATTATTATTATGTCACCACTGAATGCCAAATCTTTCCAATGCAGAAATGCTTGCACTGGTATCCCTTGACAGCTGCCATTGCATGCATTCATCATCATTAAGTATATCCTTAATGATGATGAATGCAGAAACAGTTGTTGCTGTTTGTGTTTCTCCAGCAGTCCAGATTGTTAGTCATCATGGGTTCTGATTTAAAAAAAAACACAGCAATTTATCTTACATTTAAAAAGCCTAATTAGAACTGAATACTGTTTCCTTCTTTTTGATAGAAATGATAATACACGAAAAAAAAACTTCAATGAAGAAAACTCTAGGGACATACACTGCTGTAGGAAGAAAACTGCATCCATCGAAAGTTGGTCATAGTCAGCTCAAATGTTAAAACAGGACATGAAAGTGTCTTCAAACTTACTTTCTTCATAGTTTTCATAACAATGTACCCAACCTGAGGTCTCCCTGTAAAGGGGAATTCACTTTGGAGAAACAGTCATGAAGCCATAATTACAGTACATTTTGACTGACTTTTAAAATATAACTTTTTAATATTGTAACAATGACCCCATTCTGGCTTTGACTTTCTGTCTCATTCTTTTTCTACTGCAAACACTCACTTTCAACAACTATAAACAGATTCGGCTAAACACCCACACAGCGCCATCTACCGATATATCACCATTTACCCATACACTGGTGCAACACTAAAGCTTAAAAATGAAAAACACAACCGCACACACGTCAAGCAAAACAGAAGTTAAATATTATTATTATTTATTTTTAATAAGGATAGTAGTGGCAACTTTACTGAATGCATCATGGATATTTTAATTAAGAAGTCGATGCATTTGGACGTACGGAATTGCTCTGCTGCACTCTAGTGGCTAGATGAGTGGAACACCACTGTCGTGTGAAAAAGAAACACGATGGTCTGCAGCTAAATCAGAAGCTGATGGATTAGTCAAATTGAACAAGAGACATGTATGGGGACAGATGAGTATGACATGATTGGAACAAAGGTGAAATGAAACGACCGCTGTATTTAGGTTCACTGTTGTAAAAGGATGATGGCCTCTGTCCTTTGTCGTATATACAAAAGTAACTGTATACAGAAAAGAGTTTTAAACACACAACCACACGCCTAAATGTGACACTGGACATTTGCATTCATACTGTATATGAACACAGGAAAAATGTCTACTTCGAGTGAGTGAAAATACAGTTTATAGAAAAGATGATGATGTTTTCAAATGTTATTGTCTCTGCATTTACTCTACTGTTTACAGTCTGAGATCAATTGTTTAAAACAACTAGTTTTACATACAGTAACCAACACATCTGTGATAGGCAACACTCACAGCATAAACAGTCTGATATATAATCAATAACTAGTACTTATCAACCCATGATACTAACCGAGGGCATCGTGACCAAAGTGGGATAAAAAAAGTATTTTCCTCTTCCTGTCTGTGCAGTGCTTTCTAACACTCTTCCTTCTCCCTGCGGGTAATTTCTAGATCCTTCCAATCTAGAAATACCCAGACCTCCTTGTATCAAACCCCTGCTGCCAGCTCCCCAGTGTCTGAGCCTGACAGTGACAAACTGACAAATGGCTGAATGCATGGTTTCACAACTCTAACCTCTGTAACCCCTGCCCCCAGCCCCCAATAAAAACAAAGGCAGAGCCAGAAAAGATAGATTTAGTTTAGTTTAGTTTAGTCAGCAGAACAACGCCTCCATCGACTGCCTTATATACAGATGGTTGAATATAACAGACATGTTTACAGCATCTTGCACTCAGACTTCACAAGGAAGTGTTTCATTTTCAAGGCGGAATAGTCCTTGATACATGTGTAAAACTCACATCTGGCATGTCCGCTAAAAATACATTATGCAACACAGGTACTTCTTAGTGCTCAGTACTTCTAGTTGAAAATATTTCCAAATGGATGAGGGGTCAGGTAGATAAGATATGAATGAATAAGTTCAAGGATCTATCTACAAAACTGCTAATGGTATTACAGTACTTCAATACAAAATCATTAAAGTGCTGTTGGAAAACATGATTAACAATAAGAAATAATCGAGTCCCTTATTCATTTACATCATCAAGGCGCCATTAAGTATCTGGTTGCAACTCACAGGTTGCCACATGGGAGTTGCTAATAGGGTTTCTCTGGAAGTTGAACACATGACTCTCTACTTGTAAGGCAGGCAATATAGGGTTTCTCTGGGAGTTGAATACATGACTCTCTACTTGTAAGGCAGGCATGCTAACCACTACACCATGGAACCACAAAATAAAGTACTTATACATATTTTTTCTTATTAATTTCGAATAGTCCTTAATCTAACATTTAAAATGCTTCATACCTGCAAAAGAATTTAGTTTTAAGTGTTGTTGTAATGTACTCCAGGAAAAAGGTGGAAATACTTTACAAAACAGTTTGGGGTCAGGAAAAAAATACCAATGTTTCATAATAATAACATTTCATAATAAAACAAATGTTTCTATTTTATCTTTATTTTATAAACTTTCAATTTTTTTGTGAGCTTTTTTAATTACAATTTTGTAAAGGGCTAAAAAAGATCCAAAAGTTTAATCACAACAACTAAATGTATGTGTTTTTTTTTTTTTTTCTTCAGGTATTCCATGTAACTGAGGCAGCATTAACACTAACACTTTTTGGGAAGTGTGAGATAATGAGACAGGACATCAGCTGACAGGCTGCTGGAGACACTTTGTTCAAACACTTGGTCTCATGAGAGAATACTGGAGAAAAGCTTATTATGCCGTCGCGGATGTTAAAGTATTGATGCTGCAAGATACATTTTCTCTGTGTTGGGTAAAAGGTGTCAAAATGAACTTTGTTGGTTTAAACAGCACTTGTTTCTTCTGTGGCTTCATGTCCCAAAGGAAAAGTGAAATTCTTAATGTAGCAGAAGCAAAACGATTGTCACTTAAGACTTTGTTTGGTTCCATTCTATTAACACCTGCAGTATTCATTCACCATGACACTCACGCAGCATACATCTGATCAGCACTTTTACTTTCACACATTTATTATAGCAATTTGCACACTGTTAGTACAGCTGTCAGGATCAACTTCACTTGAAGTCAGACACTTAGTGTTTGATTGATTTTTTTTTTTTTAATAAAGTTTCTAGAGAACACATGACTGGAAGTGCTGATGAAAAAAGGTTTTTATCTCATCTCATCTCATCTCATATCTAACATGGTTAATGACTTTAAATTCAACTTGTGTCAAAGTTGTTATTCCTCTGGGTTGTATTTTATGTCTCACGTCTGTGTTTGTCATGTCTTTGTGAATTGACGCCTCAAGTTGGAATTTAGCAGAAAAGGAGTTTTGTCCATTACTGAATTGTTCAACAGCTGGATCACAGTTATAAAGGGTTTAATCATTAATAATACAGTAGAGTGTACAGTATGATTGGGTCTCAAATTGGTCACTTTTCATCAAAATTGGTCACGACTAAGACATGGTCAAGTTGGACTTGTGTGGACATGTTGTCTCACTTTGTCCCACAGCTGTCATTCTGCATGTGTTTGTGATATGTATCGACTTACAAAATTGTGGTCTAACAGGTGATTTTGACATTTTTATCCACATTTGGCTCCAGACGGTTATAAACTCATCTCCTTGATGAAAATGACGTTCCTTATTTCCTTAATTCCCACCTTTGTGAACTGCTAACTTTCAAGTGACATTTCAGTAAAAGCTGATTATCATCACATTTGAAACATAATTGCAGGGTTACCAAGTGAATAATGGTCGAAGGGAAAACAGACATGGTGTTTAACGTGTCTATCATAAAGCTTTCATCTGTAGCAGCATCCTTCCCCTCCACGGAGGGAAAGTGCTGGCTTTGATGAATGAGGTGAAATAACATTTGGACAGTAGAGCGTTGGCATTCAGGCTCGTCCCATCCCTTTCTCCCTCCTTCTCCTCTGGGGAGCAGAGAGGACGATAACAGAGCTGAAGAAAGTGAAAGCTGGGATGAAGGGAGGAAGATAAAGGACCGTATTACTGCTAATCTTTTCAGAGCGGAGGACTAAATAAAAAGCAGGATGTCCTAAAAACTACTGAGACAGAAATACATATGGTGTCCCCTTGTGATGTAATGGCATGTCATGTTGGGAGCAGTAATTTGGCCTATTTAAGCCTCATGTTTTACATAATTTTCTATTTGACGGTGTCTTCTCCATTCATCTGTATCCAGTGCGGGGAATGGGGGCCAATCATGGCACTTGGAAAGGTTTGTCACCCAGAAGTTTATCAATAACTACTTTCTATGGCCCATTATCATCTATGACAAATAATTGTCTATTAAATTGTTTTGTTTTTCTGGATCAACATTTATCAATCTTCATTTCTAAAAATGACCTAAAAATGCTATTTTTGTGTAGATTGTTGTTGGTCATAAACTTCAACTAAGTCAATGCATGTTTGGACTAATTGTAGCTAACTTAGCTAACTTTTAGCTGGCTATTGCTTTATTAATATTTACAGTTGTTCAAACATTGGCAGCTGTTTGCCTCTGTATTGTCAATTTTGAATAGCGTCAAATCTTTAGGAGGAAACTTTACAATCCTATTAAAAAATATTATTATTGCTTTGTTTTTTTCCTTATCTTTTTTCCTGCCATTGTTCAAGTATTTCTTACTTAGATTTTAGTTATAATTTTTAAATTAAAATAAAAGACATTTCATAAAGACAGGCTCATAAACTTGTTTTTTTATAGTAACCTTGTCACACATTCCTGCAGATATTTCTTCAGTTTATCCCTGCATGGGTTAAGTATAGGTTAGACAGGATGTTCTAGACATCGAACGTGTGTTTAATTGCAGTAATATGTCTATGAGACATAAGAACTCAAACCTGTTATAGCCACTAATATAGAACAGAAAGAAAAGTGCCCGTGTACAGAAGAGAGATGGAGACAGACAAGGGTGAGACGGAGAGAAGCAGTGCAGCAGTGGGGATTGAACATGACACGGGGCAGCGCTGAGCGCCTGGATTTGTGAGAGGAGAACATTCATCACAGCAGTCAGAATCACATCATGTCCGCCCACCTGCAGCACACAAAACAAGAGATCACATCTCATTTACATACTGCAGGGATTCTGATGTCACTGTGCAGCCTGGCTTCGGAATCAAAGGAAGTCTTTACATAAGATGCACAGGTTGTTCTCATAAATGTTCTCTCGCCTTTGAATGGGTGACTTCAGTTCTAATAAAAGGGGTTTCATGTCAAGAGCGAGGAGCTGGCAGGGAAGGAAAATATATCGTTCAGGTTCTTCTCTGCCCACATAGAAATGATGTCATTCTTGATCATTCGTGACAGATTCAGATAATAAATAGAATAGGTTTTGCTATTAGCAAAAACCAATATAAATTTGAGATTGGAGTTTCTAGTTTATAAGAAGTGAATTAGAAGTGTTTATTTATAATAGAAGTGTTTATTTATAATTTAACTTTAAGTGATTTAGCTCATATTTTGTTATTTACAGTTTGCCAGAGCCTCAGAATTAATTTAGGCATTTCGTTGGTTTTTGATTGTTTCTTACATTTTAGATAATGTATCTTTTTGTTATGGCTAACATTTAGCTTAATAAACTATACTAATACTAATAATCTACATTTATGTTAGCTAAGATCTGGTAAAGTTTAAGCTCCTAAATATACATTTTATTCAGCTAATTCATAGCTAACATTGTGCTGTATATATAGAGCTATGTTTTAGAGTTTTAGAGAATTAAATATATATATATATATGCTAACACTAAGTTTCCTCTTCTCAGTAAACCTTTTTTGTCACTATAATTTATTCATTATCTATGGCTTGAGCCTTTGCATGTGATGAGAGGGCCGTAACCAATCACAGCATTCAAACAGTTAGGGTGGGACACAAAGTGTCTCTCCTCAAAAAGTTATTTAAACACATTTAGTGATCTAAATTCACAAACTGCCTCACACGTCTACACTTTTGCCCGTTTAATCCTTTTACTCCGAGAAACTTCAAATCTATGGAGCACATTCTACATCCTGTTAAAGCTAAAAATGTCCACAGCATTTCTGAGACTGCAGAAGCGAGACAAATCATTTCCCTCAGGTATTCATTTTGCTCCTGATCACCTCAGCAACCCTCCCACCTCTTATTGTGCCTCCAGCTACGGCTGTATCAGCAATGCATCACAGTGTTGAACCACATCATCACTGAAGTGAAGGATACAGTTTTAATGACTCATCTGCCAAATATGTCGCTGCTAAGGAACAGCTTGTGCTGCATGAAGCTCACCGTGTCGTACACCTGTTGTTAATGCCTTGATGTCGCCCCCTCAAAATCTATATGAAATGAATGTGGAAGAGGAGAACAGGAAGTGAAGAGGAAGAAACATGGAAAATGAAGGGATACAAAATATAGAGGAGGAACATTGATGGAGAGACTTCTTTATATCTACTGAAAAGAACTCTATAAATATACATATAAAAAGAAATCAACTTGCCCTTTTTCTTGTAAGCCTCAAACCACCAGGTAGTGCTGTTGCACTTAAATTCAACTAAGTGCCGAAGTCTCACAGGAAGAGGATGAGGAGGAGGAGGAGGAGGAGGAGGAGAAACACAGGGAAGGAGGAGGATTTCTCAAAGCAATTTGTGATGATTTACATAGGCAGTCAGTCTGAAAAAGCATACATAAGTTGTAGGGGAGGTTACAGGACATGGCTGCAATTAACAGCAGACAGCAGCCAGCACGGCTCGGCGATAGATCTGAATAAATCAACAGGTCCAGAGAGATAGAGAGGCAGGATTTTCTGCTGTGGCCAAATGCTGACATAGCAGGGCACGCATAAAACAAAGAAGAACAGAGCAGAGTGATTGCATTCTGTGGATTTAGGACGGCACTATAATTAAATGCAGCAGTCATAACTCTGACGGCACTAAACTTGCAACCTTTACCTCGGCGTGACTCTAAAGAATATACTTTTAAAATATAAAAAGGATTCCAATGACTCTAGGCCAAAGGCCTGGTCAAGGCAGGCGAGACAGGATGTTGAATTACTGTCCATAAACTGTCACTCTTTAAACAGAAAGATACCCTGATCAAAACACACCATCTGTTTGTTGAACCTGCTGAATGGGGTAATAAAAGTCATTTTAAAAAAACCTGACTTGAAAGTGACAACGATGATCATCTGATAAGAAACTCTTGTCTCCCTTTAAAAAGTCTTCCTGATCGTCTAAATTCTAAAGTCATCACACAATTTTACTTTATAAGATTACATTTTTGCTGCAAATTTCAGACAGATATAGCCGTTTGACTATTTTGGAATCTGTAAGGGGGGGGCAGATCCAACCAATGAAAATAGGACGGAATAAGACTGGTGCATATTGTATCTATAGGTAAAATAAGAATATCAACACAGACTGCGGAAAAAAGGAAAAAGGAAAAAAAGGAGACCAAACAAACCTGCATTAAGGAAAAAAAGGAGACCAAACAAACCTGGGTCACAGAAGTAGTCCTCATTAGGTGTAATGGTAATCCCAGGTAGAAAAGTTTGCTGGTCAGTCTACTGGTCAGAGTGTCAATGGAACCGTGCACACCTGCAACCAATCACATGCAATCACACATGCAGAGAAACCAAGCTGTAAACAGTTGTCATGGAAGGAAGTGTTAGATAAACTGGAGAAAAGAGAAAAAAGACAGCTGCTACACGGTGCTACTGAGACGCCGTGCTGCAGTAAAGTACTACAGTTTTGGCTTCGGTTAAATAACTGATGGGAGTGTGTAATGTATGTGAAATGAAAATGTTATAAGGAGCTGCTCCAATAAAAAGCTGCAGAGACACATGAGAACTGGTCGTTGTTGTTGCTAATGCTCTGACTACAACTGTCTACTCCAACAACTCAGACTATTTTTCAACGCAGAATCATAAATTGATTCTTTTTGTATTTTTTATGTAATTCAATATGGATGTGTTCTCTGTCGAACATAACTCTTAAAAAGAATAAGCTTTTCTTTATTTATGATCGTTTAAAAATCATAGTGCATCGGTACTTGTTAAATTCATATAAACAACAAAAACTCCAAGTAGACATTTGGGAACAGGAAGAGTTGTCTCTGTTAAGGGAGCAGAGGAGAAGAGGAAGAAAATGTATCACAGTAAATCCCTGCTGTTTACTTTTTTAAACCATTTCACCTCACTCTAAAAGGGACACTTGCTGCTGGATATACTGTGGACTGTTTACGTTTCCCCCCCGAGAAAAGTCCACTCACTGTTAACAGGGTCTACATTTATATATGTTATGAATGTGGCACTGGAGAGGGTAACTGGGGTTTCCTGCAACAAACAAGATAAAATGTTAATGCCCTGATGGTGGCAAACGGCTTTGGTTTATATTTGATTCCATCACGTTAAGAGTTTGATTTGACTTTAACAACTGGAGCAGAAGCATCACATTTGTTTGGACCTCATTTTGTCATGGGTGACAAATAGAGGGGAAATAATTAGAACTAGATTTTAGTAATATCTCTTATCAACCATTTAGACTACCATTACAACAATAACAATATAAATGAATAATAATAATAATAATAATAATAATAATAATAATAATAATAATAATAATAATAATAATAACCAAAGTGTTTTCCAAGATCCTATTAGTTAGGATTTAATTAGGATGTTGATGCAGTGTACAGGTAGTATCAAGAAACGAGGTAAATCAAAAACCAAAAATTAATTTAAAAAAAAAAAATTGTTGTGGTTAATTTAAAAATACAATATTATTTATTGTGATACGCTGTTTTAAAACAAGACAGAATGTTATATAGACAGATACAGATATGAATATGAACCTGACATAAATAAACAAGACCCTACATTGTTTGTGATCCACCGGCATTACTTTCTGTTCGTTGTTTGTTCTCAGATCAGACTT